AGTGTAGTTTGCATACTTGATAATTTGTTTATCTTTTGCATAATGAATCAAGTCTGTCTTCTATGCTGGTATGTGGTAACTCATCACTGTTGTCCGCCATCTTGCTCTTGTCTCCACCTTTGCATGACTTCTCGAGACGAGGGAAACGTTTAGATTCACATGATCGGCACAAATGCAAGTCTCCTTGGCATAAATGAATACTTCTTGTTGCACCACAGTCTGCGCACTTCATCATTAAAAAGAACTTGGCGAAAATGTAGACTAGTTACTGCTTGCTTGTATTAGGAGCAGGAGACGGTGATAAGCACGTCTTTCTTCAGTGGTGTTGGGTACTGTAATATTCTAACATTACAATAAACAAATCAACTGGAGAGGAACAATAGACCAGTCACTTATTATTATTGTCTGATAGGATAATAATCGAATTCAAAAACCTGAAAAATAATTATATGGAGAAACAATTGTTATTAGTTGTAGGGTAATAAATTTGATGTCATGTTTTGTGCCCTTGTTGTAATACAATGAAGTAATTAGGTAACGAGACAGATACATATTGTTATACACAATAAATATATGTGTATACTGAGGAGAATATATTGTCACGTGATACAATACAATAACTGAATGGTTCTTAACTCATAGAAATAGTTCCAGTGGACAGACACGAAAATATCTTTTGAAATCTACTTTAAATATAAGCAAACTATTACATATTGCATATTACATATACTATTCAGCTGAGTTGTTGTTAGGTTTGACATTTTACGATTGACCTTTGTCCTAAACACATCACATTTTATCACAACTGCTCAGTATAAAACATAAATTACACCATATACAAGGACACTTCAAAAGGAGGTTTATTGCTCGTAATGTATAAATTATCCACTGTAAACTCTGCCATGGTTGTTATTTGGATACTGTAATATTTACATGCAAATAACTATAAATATAATTGATTGCCTCCGATTAATGATTGTTCTTAAGTTTGCACCCACTTTGTTGACGTTTAAACGCCCTAATGGAGTGCTTTAGTGATCTACTGTTCTTAGCTGTACACGCCTGTTTTCATAGACTATGATTTCTTCTACAGCTTCAGATGCATGCATACCATCAAAACTACTTTAAAAATACATAATCCAAGTAAAGGCTAAAAACGCTGAAAACTCAGAGGCTAGTTTGGTTCTAAAGTCACGTGGGATTGTACATATTTTCTAGAAACTGCAGTATTATAAAAACAATACGGTTATAATATAATGGTTGTAAGCTGGTATTTATATAATAACGTTTCCTCCATATTATAACAGTAAGTGATACTGCGTTGTTGTACCAAATTCACGTACTGTGCAGTACCAAGCGCTGCTAGCAATAAAAAAGTCATGAAAAAAGTCTGTTAAAGAAAAGTGTATTACACTGAATGTATCACGTGACATCACTTGTCGTCCTTGTTCACCACGGAACAGTACTTTACAGATCCAGGTTTGCTCAGGATGCAGGATTTCATCGATTTTATTTCGGAAAAGGTACAAATTACAGCTTGTTTTTTGAGCTTATTTTATTTAAAATGTTCTAATCAGGCTAGTATGGTCGTATAGTTAAGTTATAGTGGCGAATTTGTAATCAAAAGTTGTGGTATGTGATTGCACAGAAGTAACGTATGACGTATTAAGTTATGCTGAAACCCGTTTAAAAATGGCTTATGTGAACGCCTCCTAGACATGTCCAGAGAATGGTGTATCATTTTGTATATGAAAGTGTAAATAACCTCGTAATCAGATCTGCAATAATATCTATAATCAACCGAATTTATTAACTTTCGAAAATAATGTATTTAGATCTGTTGTCTTAATCTGTTTGCTGCTGAATTGCGAGTTACAATACCGTGTATCATGTGTATATAATGTATAGAATGTATTCTACTGAAAAACGTACAAGGCGGTAGTGAGTGATTATTGTCACCGTTCATGATCAAGTATATTATCACCACAACAAGTCTTCAACTGTGAGCAACTACAGATATATTTTGTTTTTTAATTTGAATACATAGCAGAATTGTACAATAGATAAAAGTTGTCATTGCCAACGAGATTGGTTATTTTGAACAGTTACCTAGGATTACGGAATGCTGGCTACTATATGTGTTTTTAAGTGTTTCGTCATAATGCGCTTTATCTAATTCTTGCACATGTCCTGTTATGATACAGCCCCAGACCCGTTCCCATGGCAAATGTGGTAATCAAACACACCTTCGCATGCTACGTGCATATTGTCTCGTATTCCTTCTGTGTGTCATTCATTAGCAGTACATGTTTACTAGCAAGTATTTCAAGTGTCTTAAATTATTCCATAGTATATATGAAGTGTCAATAGTGTACTGGATAACTGTTCAAAGGTTAGTTGCAAATTTGGAAGTTAAAATCCAGTGTTTCATGTGCATATATGTCTTCTGAAACAAGTACAAATATACAAGCGTTCGAATCTCGTGTTAATATTTATATCTTTGTATAAGTGCTTGCAATTTTCATTACTTACGTTCCGGAAGTCTTCACTGCATGTTGGACATAATTTGTCAAAGAAGATTGTTAACCGGGCATATCATTCTGGCCTGACTTTGTACGCAGAATTAGGTTTTAATTGCTCATAACCAAGTAGATATTACACTGAGAGCGCATTAACTGCATGCCGTATTAAGCTCTCAGACGTGACCTAACAAAGAGTGTGTTCGCTTATAGTGGTGAGGCGCATTTGTCGGGTTTTACTTCAAATGTTATGGAGTCTGAGATAAAAACTATCATTGCCCAAAACGCCTAGCTATTTTCAACATTAACTTAGGCATGTCATTACTGAAAATACCAGGTTTATACCTTATATGTGTTGATAAGTGTACATTCATGATTGGCCCCGTTTGATTCTTACACATGGAGAGTAACGTTCGGTGATACATACCCATCTGGGTATGTCAAGGCGAATGAAATGGTAATCAAATATATCTTCTAGATATTATGTGATATTATATAGACATATGTTTATTTCGTGCCATGTAATTCATGGGCTTAGTGTACAACACTGTTATTTGACAGTATTTTTCAGGTGTTAAACAGACTGTAATAGAACTTTGCACAATAGTTAACTGAAAATATTTTCAATATAAGTGCGACAACCACAGTCGTGCTCAGGCTACTCTAAGTACGAGAGCACCTTGAATCAGGCACGTGGCCAGTTACCTCTCGCTAAGTCGCGACGAAGTATTGTGTGGCTTTCAATAAATTCTATTGATTTTTTAGCAGCAGTTTAAAGATAAAGCTAATAGCTAATGGTTTCTTTCGTCGTGTATTTAATTAGCAGTTAAAGAGTAGGTGTCACTTTGATGTCACCACTATAACTTTAAAAAACTGACCCCAAAAAGCTGATTAATTGACATTTTCAAGAACACTTAATTCCATTTCGTACAAATATATCGTATTCCAGTATATTGTTATTCAAAATACTTTGTCCCTTCTAACGAAACATAAACTTTTAGACATAACACGCATGTGTATGGTACTTAGCTACCAATAAACTAATATTATTTTATTACAGACCATCATAACAAAATGAGTTGGCAAATCACTCTCTTCATATATGTGGTGCCTATATTGCTGATGAACTCTGGTACACTGAAAGGATGCCCATTTGAATGCAGTTGTGAAGACAATGATGGAGAGCTGCATGTCGATTGCAGTCATGGGGGTCTGTCTGAAATTCCTTCAAATATTTCATCTGATACTACGAGATTAGTGTTGGAATATAATGATTTGATAACAATTCCGGAACATGCTTTTATCGATTTGCATGGGCTGGTTTACATAAACCTCGGATGGAACGGAATTACTGAGATTTCTGCAAAAGCTTTTGTTGATGTATCTAACTTAACAGAACTTAAGTTACACAGAAATGGATTAACATCGTTACCGGAAACAGTTTTCGACGAGTTACCAAACCTAAAGAAACTCGATATATCCTACAACTCATTGACATTTTTACCAAGTGAAATATTTCACAACTTGACTGATTTAACAGAACTGGACTTGTCCTATAATAATCTTCAATCACTGAATTCGACATTATTTGATGGATTGAATAATCTACTTGAGCTACGCCTCTACGGCAATGATTTAACATTCTTACCAAGTGAAATATTTCACAACTTGACTGATTTAACAATACTGAACTT